AATCTTTCTTCATGATAATCGACTACGGCAACACTTCAAAACTGCGATTTCCTTCACTGTGATTCAATAAAACAATTCATATCCATCTATTTGCGCCTGTTTTCACATATTTTGTATAAATACTTTTGAGTTTCTATACAACTACATTCTTTTGCCAAATCTTCTTGGCTTTGAAATCTTTTTTAGAAACTCCGAAACAATCGAGATGCCTTCGCTGAGTTCTCCAGCAAGTTCTCGAAAGTTGCCCATGCATTTGCTTCCGCCAAAGGCTTCACTTCTTCGTCTTTCTCGCCCACGGCCTTCCTCATCCCCAAGATCGAATTTTGTACGATGAAGTCTTCCAAACCAACACTACATTATGTATTCTTTCTTGATAAGCTTACACGAGGTTGATAATAATGTTTATTTTCGGCTAACGTTTCGACGTCTTCGTCTTCCTCAGAGCCGATGATCCGAGTCGATGGTCCATGATTGTTGTTCGTCTCGACGTTGCAGCTTCGCCTTCGTGTCGAGCCAGGTCTTCCTCAGTGATCCATCTTCTCGAATGAGGCATCCTCACTCAGTGATGCTCTTTTAGCTCAAGCTTATCAAGAAAGAATACATATTGATTAGTCACACCGAGGTTTAGGGAAGGTCGGTTTCGAAATACAACACTACATTGTTCGTTTGTTAACATTTCCTTGCCCGTATATCGCATAACGCTCCGAGTCGCTTGCACTGCACTTCGTCCAAGCTTGATTTCCTCGAAGTGGGTGTGCCAGAATTGCCGTTGTGACGTGTGAGAGTCCAACCTTTAAAATTTGTCATAAACATAGTTTTTTTTTATAACTCAGTAAACTGAGCAACAGTACAAAAAATGAACCTTTCAGTGATATGTAACAGTGCAGTATTTGAAAGAAAAAAAGCTGTGGTTTAAACAAAAGGACAAAAGATAAAGCATTTGGTGTTCCCACGACCGACTTTCTGTTAACCTCGGCACTGATTGATAATTCGGTGTTTTTCTCCAATAAGCAGACAAGAGGTTGTTATTGTAGAATTTATTAGGATACAATAGCTGACGTTTCGGCGCTTTCGCCTTCTTCAGAGCCTGGAAAGGTCAAATTGGGATGCGATCTACCCAGCCAAACACTTTTATAATCCAACAGAAAAATTCCCATTTCCGCCCATTTCCAACAGAAAATTTCTATTTCCGACCATTCCAAGAATTACTATTTTTTAAGAGACTCATCTTAGTCTCGATTTAACTTAATGGTCCTGTACAACTCTGTGCGACTGCTCTCCACCAACGTATTGGAATACTTGCAAGTAATAAACGGCGCTGAAGAAAGCGAAACCTCCGAAACGTCAGCTATTGTATCCTAATAAATTCTATAACGCCAACCTCGTGTCTGCATATTGAAGAAGAACGTTTGGTGTTCATCAATCTAGAGGATGTTGCTTTTTGCACTGGACTCCATTATGCATCGTTATGTCTTTTACATGACCCATCATCACATCTATTGTACAGATCCTCGCACTTATCGCATTCCTTTCGTTTTTCTGCTTTTATCATCAGAGAAGCTTTTTAAACTCTTCATATGTAAGTTTGACTATTGTTTGATAGCTTTTGTTTTTTTTTTTGAACGTCGTTGAATGCTGGCTGAGTCGATTCTTCCTCGAGCCCTAGCATAGCTGTGTTATAACGTCCTTGCGTAGACTTGAAAGAATGAGCACAACACAGAACTTTGCGCGGCCATGTCCGATACCAATTTACTGCCAGCTGAGGGATGAGAGGATTGGTGAGCCTGGAGAGAGTTGGACCAGCACCGTGCTTCTCATTAACAGCGTCACTACCAGTGCGCTACACGCCTCCAAATTATCGTTTAGATGAGTTAACGCATATCTGGCCTATAAAATGACTCGCGGTCGCCTAACGATGTATTAAATCAGTGCTGCAATCCTCTCAGATAAGTCTCGTAGCATTTCCCCGAATGTGGAGGGATGGAAGGCTTAGTGAACACATGGCACGAGATCGAACAAATGATAGCGCTTGTATTGCGGAGCACCTCTAACCACTACGCTATACACGCCCAAAAACGATCTTGCTGCCTTATTAAAACATACAGGAACAGTGCTGTTGTAGAACGGACATTAATTTCCAAGCTACTCGATAGTTTCAAATGGTTTTTGAGAACCTCTATTCATGTGTTTTACATCCGCTAACTAATAGAGGTGGTTGAACCTATTATTTACTGCCTACTCTTTTTAACGGCAGGGTATACGTTATGAAATATAACTTCAATGATGCTGAGATATTTGCAAAACTCCGGACCGCAAGTGTATGCTTCGGAAAGGACAATAGCGCGTTCGTTCCCCAACGCATACACCTGCGGTCCGGAGTTTTGCAAATATCTCAGCATCATGTTTTAACGTTTTGTTTTCTGCCTTCTATAATTTTCATGGCAGGTTACTAAGCGAAATACAACCACAATGTTGCTGAGATATTTGCAAAAAAAAAAAAGATATTTCCCCACCATAGACACCTGCGGTCCAGAGTTTTGCAAATATCTCAGCAACATTGTGGTTGTATCTCAGCATCATTGAAGAGGTGGTTGAGTTAGTCTGCTGGTTAGATTGCGACTTCAGCATAATTCTTTCGCTTTTCCCATTCACATATTAGGAGCAAGTTAAGAGTGGCTTTTCTTCATCCTAAAATAGGCGTGAGAGGGCGTTCCCATATCTTCATCACTGCCTTTAAGGACGTCAAGAAGGTGTGTTGCCCGACCAACCAACAACCGACAATAATGTAACGAGACAAATCACCACTGTATTTTTCCCATATGCATTCCGCTTTTATTCTTCCCTTCTAATCTTTTTATGTTATTGACAAGTAGTTGTAAAGCTTTAATGACATTGTTAGAAAAAAAGGCAATCCCTTCAGTGGTTCCGGTTTTGAGTTCATTTACAGACCACGTACGACTTACCTAGTATTGAACCTGATGAAGTAAATGTGTTCCAAAGTTTCAAAGAGACAATAGAATTACAGAAAATACTAAGCGATGGGAACCATGTGACTGTTTCATTGCAACAATCTTAACTGATGCTGTACTCTGTTCATTCTCAACGATTTATTGTCACTCTCATTTTACAACAATTATCGTTTCTCACGTTTCCGTTGATAGCCTCACTCTCGGAAACTGTCATTGTATTGCTAACGGATCCAAAAAGGCCTCCCAGAAAATTCACCTTTTATTACATTATTTATGTTAATAATAGAAGCAGAACATTTTCTTAGCGTTTAGGTTGTGTCTGAGCGTATAGGGCTTCTTTTTACTGAAACAATGCTAAACTGTTCTCGTTCATGGATTTTTTATGATAGTCATTGAATTATTGATCGGTTCCGTAAAGCAGGTCTTGATGTGAAGTAAAATTCGAAGTTTAACCGACTTTAAATCCTTAAAGAATATTTTTTAAAAAGCCGAGATTTCATCAAGAATGCTGTCATTTTTAGTTCTGTTGTGGGATTTTGTTTCTTGTCTTCTCTATTATTACCAAAAATGCGGAAAGCAGGTGATAACTTAATTGTTACATTTAAAGTAGCAATTAGAAGGTGTTATATGTTGAGTCGCTAAAAGTATTTAAGTAGTAATGAGCTCTATAAATTAAAAGCGCCACGGTCTTTCTTTCCGTAAGCATCCTACGGGGTACAAAATTAGATTTAAAATTAGATTCGTCTTCATAAATGCCACCGTTCTCCAATCAGACTATGATTATTGACTGTGAGAAAGCCATCGCCTACGTCCACTTCACATCCGGTCATGTCGTATCTTTCATTCATCTCGTACTCAGCATCAGTGCCATAGTAATTAATTTACTATTTGTTCGTTTCTATTGGAAGGATATACGCTGCCATGCCAATTGTAAGGTGAGGCTGTTTTCACTAGTTGTTACATTTAAACCAAGCTTCCCATAAAAATTCATCAGACGGTATCCTGCTTAGCTAAATGTCCACGTCATCCAACATACGATGAATAGAAATTGCATGGCTGTAATGTTTTCAGCACTGTTATTTGTTTAGATGCTCATCTTATCAATTATCATCGTAAATGAACTGCATGCGTTCGCCTATGCGATCATACAGGTGAAGAATTTCTTGTGTCCTTTCGACTAACACATCTTCTAAAGGTTGAGTTAAGGGCATTGTCCTTATTGGAATTACTTCAAGAGACTGGTCTTGATATTCTAGGAAAATAACGCCATTTTCAATTATTCGTGGTTTGTAACAGATGAGCAATCTGCAACATTTTAAAAGCTGAGAACGAAAGAGAGAAAAAGAAACATTTTAACGTCGTTGTAACAATACTTCTTAAGTGAGTCATCCTCTTCAATTGGCTAAGATTTAGTTTGTGCCAAACAACAATCATCCAGTCCATCATTCACACGTCCATAAATAAGACGTATTGTAGGTTAGTAACATGTAGTTACCTAAGGCTTAAAACATTCGTCATTCACCAGTCGCTGAGAGATGCGCCATGCACCCGACCCCATTCGCAGCGTCGGAGAGACGATTGCATGAATTTTTGGGCCTACAGAAAGATGTGTTGGTCCTATCGACATGTCGTCTCAATGATTTTATCTCCAAATCAAGTCGGGGACCAATTTGCCAACCCTAGAAGAATGGGCGAGGTGGTTTGTTTAACGTGCAAGACCGACTCAATGACCATATTTGTATAGTACGACATCTTCAACCTCTTACCTATAAATGTTCCAATACATTAAAACGACAGTGACTAAAAACCAATATCTTAACCTTTTTATTTACTGCCTATTTTTTTAACGGCAGCGTATTTGCGAAATATAAATACTATAATGCTGAGATATTTGCAAAACTAAAAGAAAAGAAAACCTGTATGGTGTGGTGGTAAACACGTTACGCTTCGGAAAGGACAATAGCGCGTTCGTTCCCACCGCAGACACCTGCGATCCGGAGTTTTGCAAATATCTCAGCATTATAGTAAAAACCAGTATATCAAACATGTCGTTTAGCTTACACACATAGTAAAAGTGGTGGCAGTGAAAAACCCATGCGACATCGGTGTCGACGGGAGATTCTGTTTCGCTTTGCGATTCATTACGACGTCTTGCACATATGCTCACACTACCGTACTGTTTGGATTGTTATTTGAGAGAGTTATTGCCACCAAATTTGCTGCTACCTATGAGAAAAGCTCCGCGAAGATTGGCTGCTTAATTGTCATCGTATCGGTAAAATACTTACTACAATTCCAATATCTTGCACTTAATTACGTTACTAAATTTATGAATCTTGTTTTTAGTTTCTCGCAGCGGTTGTCCTTTGCTACTCAAAAATACATAAATTCCTCTTCGGTAAGTCGAGGATTTATTGCTCATCACTTACTGGAGAAACATATTTCGATGTTATCGCCGTTCATTCGACATTACTAGCAATGCTTATAATTACTGGCTTAGTGTTCGGCTTGATATTCAAGCTGAACACAAACCTGAGAAGAAGGTAAGAGCGGTCTTCTTTTCCAATATACACTAGTCTGTTGTTTTCTTAGCGAAAAATCCCTTGAAGGTACTGTATTTGTTGAAGGATTACGCACAATATCAGCCAAAAGTATCAGGCAACGGAGAACCTACGAGTACTGCAGTTATTCGGCCCATTGCTAGTATTGCATTTCATTGCTTATCCGACCTACTTTGGCGTCAGTGTGCTTGTGCAATCCATAAAGAATATCGTTGGCAACGAAAATTTTCGACTGATATATTCTATTTTATACGTGAGTGGTAATTTTATTAATTTTTGAGATCATACTTTTAGAAGACTGTTCCTTTCGATTTGAGAATTAAGTTGAAGGGAGTAATCGTCGAAGCAGTCACCTATTCTCTTAATGACACTCAATGTCTGCTTTAACATCTATCGGCCATGAATATATCCGTATAGGTAGAGTGTAAGGAATAAGGCACGCCTAATGACGTTGATTGATAACTCAGGGCTGCGTCATGAACTTGACTTCATTCGTGGCATCGCAGAACTAATTGAATAAATATTTCATTTCTACTTGTTATTTTATATGACCCGTCTTCCCGTCTCCTGGGTGAATCCTAGCACTTCTCACATTCGATTCGTTTCCTCGCATCCATTGTACACGAAGATCTTCCAACTTTTACCCGTGGTTTAGGCTACTGCTTGAGGATTTTCATTTCATCTTGAATGTCGTAGAATGCTGGTCGAGGAATTCTTCCTGAAGTCCGGAGGTAAGCGGGGGCTGAAGCGTTCCTTATCGGATTGCAATTCCCAATGGAGTAGATATATGGTTTGTATAGTAACTTACTGCAGCCAGACTATGTATAACGATAGTATTGTTATACCACTAGACAAGTCCGATACCCCTTTGCCCACAACCGAGTGCTAGTGCTCTTGGCTCCCCTCGATAGGGAACTATGCCACGACTATGTGTTAATTGGAGGTTACCACTAACCACTGCGCTATACGCTCCCATTCACGTAGAAAAACTTGTTATTTGCTAGCTGACTGATTATGTCTTAGTATTGTATTTTCAGTTTCCATGTTTCTACAGTATAATATCGGTTGTGGTTCTATGCTATGCCACTGACAAGATGAAGAGGAAGAAGAAAGTGAATACAGTATTTCAACGGACTTCAACCCATCGAGAAGATGACATCTATTTTCAGAATTACACCACTATGTGGAATTAAACAGTCATCCACAGTACATTTTAGTCATGGCACACTGAAACGAAGACCTTAGAAGAGTAGAAGTACTTTCTTTGAAAGTCTACTAAAGCAATTTTGTATATTTTACATAGCAAAAAAAAGTTTTGTTCGGTAAGAACAACCAACAAAAATGCATTGTACACAATCAGATCGTTCAATTGTGATGTCAAGCGTGTGATTGTATAGAATGCATGCCGTCCTTTATTTGTTAACGGTATTCATTTATGAGAATTTCGTGTTATTCTGCTTTAGTGATTCCATAAATGCCGTCCTGGTGAACTAGAACTATCGGATTTCAAGAATGATAGGAGATTTTAACAGATATCACTGAAAATTGTCTAGCGCTGATTCATCTACAGTAAACTTGTGTAAATTTAGAACTGCAAAAACATTACCTAATTGGATGTTTTTAAGGAATAAAACAACCAATTACTTCACTTCTTTGCGTGTACTAGGTTCGTTTCAGTGATAAACATAGAGTGGGATGCTACGACTGTAAATATGGTGGCAGTACTTCAGTTAATGACCTTTTACCGTAGTACATCCTTCCTTCAGTAATCTTCGTTATTTTCCACAAGTGAGCAAGAATACAGTGAAGTAAAACGATAGAGTTTTAATTTGCTGTTGTTCCAAACCCCAGCGGTTCGCCACAAACTCGACTTCGTTAAGTCGTGGAGGAGCTTGAGTGCACATTTCGTGCCTGCATTAACTTATCAGGGCACACCGATGTGGGAAGTTAGTGTTCCTCAAACATGGCCGGCAGCGATTTTTCAACGCCGGAGGAATTGGTTACTCCGGAGACTGAATTGTACCAACGACCACTTGTGAACAGCATGTAGGTCTAACCTAGTGCACAACGTGCACCTCAAACTTGAAGAACTACGTAAATAAGTGAATAGATTATTAATTTTGAGAATTAACCGATAACGTGCAAAAGCATAAGAGCAGATGTTCTGAGAAGCAAATTTAATGTAAATCTTCACTATTAGTGGAATAAATTGAGTGAGCTCGCAGAATAGCAGTTGAGGCCTTCTATATTTATGTGAAAAAGTTAACCTAGGAAACAAAATCTTTTTCTGAGGACTTATTCCTTTTTTGCTCTTTCTACGAAAATGCGAAATTTACCGGTTTCAACGAAGTGAACATGTTTGCACGTTTCATCCAGAACTCCCCACCATGAATTTCATGCATAATGGTAGTTGGAAAGTGAAATTTTGAAAATGACTGTATTAATCTGAGCGAACTTTGGCCATACTTGGTAGAAAAAAGGTACTACAAGAAGCATTGTTTCTCGAAGAAAAAAATTTCAGTTTAACGCAACTATCGATAGGAAGCTGGCTGACAGAAAGCCAAAGCATGCACATCAGCTGGTGTGGTGGGGACGCAAACACCAGCAAAGCATAGTTATGGATTCGATGCCAAAATAATGTCCCAAGCTTTTCTTGTATCTCAGCATCCTTATGGCTGTGTTTCACAATTATCAAAAAGAATTTCTCAGAGGAAAAGCCCCGTCAATTGTTGAGCTTCGACTCATGCGAAGCACCATCATATCTGACACAATGAGAGAAGAGTGATAAGAATTCAAGAGCACACGATTCAAAATTTTCCTTGCGTCCTTCAGCACTGCAAGTATTGCTGAAAGAAAAAAGAGCTATAGCTGTGTAAAGGTCAAAATCCAGCGCTCCATTAACACAATTTCTACCGCATGTTGTTTTCATCACTTTATTTTTTATTACAACAAATTGATTGTGAAAAAAGCAAAATACTATTAGCTTCATTGGCCTCGCATTACAGTTGAACCAATTAGTGAACGAGACTTATTTCGTCCAGTGGAAAAAAAAGCACACCTTTGTTTAGAAATCGAATGTAAAATTTTAGTAAGAATAATCCTCACTTATAACAGCCCCCGGAATCGGCTTTCTATTAACCTCGGCATTGCAATATGAATGCGTCGTTTTCTTGTTCAGCAATCGCGAGGTTTTTAAACAGCATACATTTACTTCCATAGAAAAACACAATACAATACAACAGTAGCTGACGTTTCGGCAGTATCGCCTTCTTCAGAGCCTGGAAGGGTATGCTGATATACAATCTACTAGGCCAAACGCTTCAATAACACTTACACAAAGACGAAAGACTCTTTGGTAATTACACGATCAACAACTTCTCGAAAAAACCCACCACTTTTTCGTGACTTCCAATGAGAAAAATTAGAACAGCTGATTATAGTCGCATATGGCTGACGACTGCACTATCCTACATCAAAAATCGATGCGAACATAAGGGGCCAGGTTGTGTGTGGTCTCGGGGCATTTCTCCCTCCTATTCATTGTGGGGTTTTGGCATTTATCCAAAAATCATCAAGAAGTTTTCGCGCTGGTGTTTTAGTCTTCTGTGCAAGCATATTGACTTTTCAACTTTTTACGCCGCTGTTTTCAACATCGAGTCGTGCTGAAGTTTGTAAAACGAAAGCGATTTCACGAGATATGCGGTCAACCAGAGAACAGCCAACAAGTACGAGGCATCGAAATGGACCCACTTCGAGATGCACTACGAAGCAAGCAGAACGAGATGTTTGCCAGAATGAAGAAGTGTGCAACGAAGGAACATTTTTGTGATTTGTATTTGGAGGATCGCCTTTGGAGGAGGATGGTTGGTGGGTCAATATTGATATGCGATTTTATTCGATCTAATGCCAAAATAACCTTACAACGGAAATTCGAAAGCCTGTTGGGTAATTCACATGTCTCAGCTTCAAGAAACAACCGCAAACGAATTTCTTACGTTTCTGATAATAGTCAAAATGGGGTTGATAATGCACCAAGAAAATCTAGGGTCACCGTGATTGGAGGCATAACAATACCTGAGAATGCGCGCTCGCCATTAGAATTGGGCCAAAGTTTTGCACCATCACAGCCCATTTCTAAAACGAACCTGCGTAGGATAGCTTGCAACCTTTATGAGCTTCAAGATCGACTCCGCTATCAGGCCAAGCAAGAAACATCAAATAGAGATAAAAATCAAGAGGCGGCGACACTACCACCATCTCCTTTCCCAAAAACGTTCTTTAGACAGCAGGACCCTAACGATGGAGTTGACATAAAATTACGCGCGTTTTCGGACGGCGTTCTCAAGACCCTTGATCACTACCGCGATAGGAAGTTTATCTCTAACCTTACAGCCGCACAAAAATGTGGCAAGCGGGAAATTAGAGAATTAATAAACTCGAAAACAATAAGATTGTCTGTTAGTGATAAGGGGGGAGAGTTCGTAGTTATCCCTCGCCAGTTGGATGTTGAGATAACAGAGGAACAGAACGGAACAGGAACATCTTAGTGATGCTACCCATTACCGCCCATCCTCTGAAGAGAGTCAGAGAGATGAAAGTTAATACCGAAAGCTAAAAACAATGGGTCAGTGTGGCAAAGGCTGCACGTTTAAATTCATGGTTATTTCGCACTTTAAAATCGACAAACCAACATGTCCAACCCTATATCTGTTTATTAAAACACATAAGTTGGTATCACCTGATGATCATGCGTCAACCAATCTGTCATCATTTAGGGTTAGACCGATCATCAGCTGTGTAAACGGGCCAACGGGTAGAATAACCACCTGGTTTTTAAGCCTGATACTTACCCAGTTGCTTAACCACATTCCAGCTCACCTCACAAATATGCAAATATTCCTAGAACGTCTACGTAACGCGTCTCCTAACAACGCGTACGTGATGGAGTCCTTCGACGTTACTGCGCTGTACACCAACGTGCCGAATGACTCCGCAATGCAAGCCATCTTCCAACTTCTTGTTGAACAGAAATCAGGAATAAATATGCATGGCTTGTCCATCCAGCAGCTGATGGCTCTTTGAAAGGAGTGCCTAAACTGCTCGATTTTCAGATGGTCTGGGAAATATTTCGCGCAAATAAGCAAATAAGGGGGTTAGCAACGAGACAGCGATTGGCGCCAAGCCTTGCCATTGTGTTTAGGTCTAAGATAAAAGCCCCTGTTCTCGATCTCCGGCCACTACTCTACTGTAGATGTGTAGATGATTGTTTTGTCGTCTTTT